CAGGGCTTCAAACACATGTACTTAAAAAGAGCAGAGGCTGCAGATTTAAACTTCAAGGAGACTACGTTAACCATCCGTACACTTTAAACTGAAAATTGCACCTTAAATGAACTCTTTTATATATGATGAATCCCAAAATGAAACACATTCCTGGAGTAATTTTATAATGAAGTGCTGTAATTTGATTTCCGCAGTCAGCCCTCGTTCACTGGCCCTGTGTTGTCTGAGTGTGCGTCAGTTTAGAGCTCAGCGAAACGGCTGAAATTACTTTAACTGTGTGTCACAGTCAGGCTGTGAACATTACCCACAGTATGTCTAGTTCAACCCTAGCTGAGGTTCATTTGTTGCTGTCATTTTTTCTAATTAAACCGTAAATTGCTGCCAAAAAATAGAGAACTTTAGAAGAGAAGATATGACACTTAAAGAATGCTGAATAGAAATCAGTGGGAGAATTCTCCACTGCTAGAGACGACAGATGTCCTGCTCCTGAACTGGGAAATGCATGAGCCATGTGTTGTCACTCTAATGCAAGTTCATGGCAGTTCTAAGTAAAGATGATGGTAAGTGGCTTTCGGTATCTATAACCTGCATTAGCATGGCATATGATGAGTGCTTTAGTGGTAGGAAGCACAAATGTTGATGGATTCTAGCTTTAATAAGAGTTTTGTGATTGGTAGTTTCAGGATCTCATCCCTGCTTTTTGCAGATGATGCAGTTCTGTTGCCTTCAGCTCCCAAAGGGGAAGTTTATAAGTGAGTGGGAACCGCTCAGATAAAAATCAGCACCTTAAAGTCTAAAGCCATGGTTCTCAGGCAGAAAAGAGTGTGCCCAAAGGAGTGCCCACTCTAGTTGAAGAACAAGTTGCCAACCCAAGAGTTTGTGAATTCTGTGCGGTTGTCTGTTTATCAGACGATCTAGGCTCCTACATAGCCTAACATGTAGCCATTAGGTCAGGGTGGATACCGCCAGTGGAAATAGGCTTTCTAGCAGCGTGTCTGGGCTCAGCCTTAGATACAGGGTGAAAAGTGTTTTCATGGAGGCAGCAGGCGACCATATTCTGCAAGTCTGAAATGTAGCAGCCCGAGTTTGAGTCAGAATCCCTTTGATGTGTGTCTTCACTCTCTCTCCCTGTACTCCCGTACCCCCCAAAAAAATCATCTTCAGCTTTATACTTCTAATTTTCATGAATAACTGGCTCTTATAAGGCAAAAATACAGAGGGCTAAATGAGTATAAATAGATGTCACTTTTGGTACATACACAAGATGAATCTGAAATACCTGCATTGACTCCATCAGACTAGCATCGAACAGTAGAAGCACTTAATAGCTTAATAATTCATGGCACAGGATGCAGGAGTGAACTTTTCAGCTGTGTTCTCCACTGAAGCTGCTAAAAGTCTGAACATACTGTGTAAGCCTCCATGTTTGCTGCTTTATCAATCCATGAAGTACCTTCATGTTGCAGCTTTTTCAATGTTTGTGTCAAAGAACAAAACAGGAACACCAAAAGTTATCAAACCTGTTTCCCGTCCAGCGTGTAGAGCTTCTTTACTGCTCCAGAGTCCAGCTTGATGGCCTCGGTGATGTCCGCCAGCACCTGTTCGAAGGAGTGCGCCGTCTTCTTGTTCAGGAGAATCCTCACTGCCTTTCGAGGCTTCACGCCGCTGCGGATCACCGTCACCAACTTGGGTTTGATGAAGTCTTTGCTCTCTCTGCCCTCTCGACTTTCGGGGCGATCTTTGGGGACGGTCGTCGACACTCCTGTGGATGCCGTGGAGGCTCCACTTGATCTTGCTGTTCCAGGCCCAGCGCTGGCACCGGGCTTCCAGCTTGGGACGGAGATCTTGGTGTAGTCGACCTTCCGGTAAGGCTCATTGGAGGCACAAACGTAGCACTCGCCTGAGCAGCAAGGCAGGGTGTGAGGAGGAAAAGTTACATTAAAAACAAATACTGCAAAGGTTTTATAGGAGAAACTTTTGACTAAAATTAACCAAAAAGCATTAAAGCTCAATATTGTACACTGAAAAACAGCATTAAATATCTTACACAGTTAACTTAAATATTAGGCTTTTATGAAATGGTGTGTTCAAGGACACCAAATGCCACCAAAGACGAATGCTGTTTTAGCACCTTAATTGCAATTTCTATTTTTATTTTGTTGTGTGTTTTAACCGGGGTTAATAAAGCTATTAACTGTATTTTAATTTTCTAATGTATTTTTTATTTTAATTGTACATCAGTTTGTGACTTTGTGCCAATTAAAAGCACTTTACAAATGCCCTTTACTTACATACAAAGTGTAGCAGTGGGCAATGAGCCCTGAAGAACACTTTGCAATATCAACAGCAGCATGGAGAAAGGCAGGCACGATTAATCAGCTGTCATGACTACAGTCCTTAGGCTTTGAACCACATTTAAATTATATTAAAAAAATCCTTCTGCTACATTTTGTTCACCCGGAACGCAGCCCTGTTCTTCATCCGGTGCCCAGTTTATTATATTTTCAGTTCATTTCCGTGTGTCTCAGAAGTATTTTGCTGCCTTCTGTCTTTTCCTTACTTGGATTTTTATTGCATGTTGTTGGCAGTTTTGTGCATTGCACTAATCCTTTCAAGTAAAAATTAAGTTATCGGTTCTTTAATTGACCATCATCACAAAGATTTTGACCTTAACAAAGCAACAATATTCAAGCAACAACTTTGATAGAAACATTAAAGCAAAGTGAACTGGCCCTAAAAGGCTGCCTTGAATACAGGAAGCCATGCTGTGTCATCTGTACCTGCTGGCTGTTGTCATGAATGCAGTTAAAAGGTGAAATAAGTGAGTGATGTACAGGAGGGCGTTCAGGGTCACAGGCTTATTTGAGAGTGCGGTAATACAAGCTTTGTGTGTGACAGTGGATGAAGAGAAGGTGACAGCAGATGTCAGATTCACTCCTCTCGCTCTGTCTCATCTGCTGGAAAACTATACAGCTCGTCACTCGTCAGAGCGTTCAAGCACCCAGGCAGGAAATATGGAAATGATGAGCATGCAGTGTTTTATATCGCAGCGCAGCTCCAATTAACCTGACTGCGATGAGTATGATAATAAAATGCAAAGTCAGACTGATAATCCAGTTTAGTTTCCACATAAGCTGTTATTTAAAAACAGCTTGTTTCACTTAGTGGTCATATTAGAATTAGTTATACTACCTTAACAGATGTACTAGCTATGAATAGAGCCTTATTTACATAAAGTGTTCCCTACAAAATAAAGACGTTACATTGCTATAGTTTGCAACCCAAATTAATTAAAAAGACAGTTTAATCTATTTCTTGCAATTTTTTTGGTTGGGGGGAGGGGCTAAGAGTAGAGCTGCTATTACTACACATCAGACTGAGCTGGATGAGGTGGTGGCATCTCACTACAATGCCTCCGGGATGCTTCCTGGGAGTCTTACTGGTAGGAGGCTTCAGGGCAGACCCAGGACATGCCAGAGAGATTATGTCTCTCAGCTGGCCTGGGAATGCTGCAGTGTCTCTCCCAAGAAGAGCCGAAGGCGGTGGCTGGTCTCTGCTTACACTGCTGCCTCTGAAACCCAGTCAGTAACCAGCAGGAAATAAGCAGTGGAAACCTAAGAAAGCAACCATTCAAACCCTTTTAATTCAAGGGGTTCTTTTTTTGTATTGTGTTTTTTTTTTTTTTAAACTACAGCTTCAACATGTTGAGATCTCCAAAATCTGCCAGGAGTGGTTAGAAAATGATCATATTATTAGGGGCAAATTATGGCTAACCTATTATTTAAAGACACTTTTAAACACACTATAATTACAAATTTTCTTCCACATCAATGATCTCATTGTCACATTAAAGGGGAAAAGAACCCGTTATCATTTCACATAGACCAAGGTTTCATTTTCAGATTATCAGTCAAAAATCCAATATTTTTAATTTACAGTCCAAAAACATTCAGTTGGGGGGGAGGGGGTGTGTGTTAGGCTAACTGATCATTTTAAAATTGACCATGCGTTTGAATGTGAGTCTCTGTGCAACAGCCTGATGCACCCCGCCTCTAACTTCTCACCCCATCCCACAACCCAGAACTGGATAAGCAGAAGAAAATGGACAGATATACATCCATGATGTGACCATCTCTTCACTGCTTGTGCTTATAGTGCCTGCAAAACACATCACACCCTTCATGTCCAGGACTGCATGACAACTCTGAAGGTGTCCTGTAGAGCCTGGCACCAGGACATTAGTGTCAGATCTTTAAATTTGTGAGCTGGAGCCACCATAGATCATAGCTGCTGTTTTTGTTTTTAATGTTTTTCCTCATTAGCATCTGCATGAAAAGGAAATGCCTAAGATGCAAGAAACAAAAACTATTTGACATTTTGCTGATCAGAAACAACTAAACTATTAAAATAGATGTTCACTTTGGCAATTTTAACTTTTATGTTTTTGATGTATGTAAAGAAAGAAAAGGATGAACAATAAGGTTTAGCGACTAATGTGCATGTGTCTATATTTATTTGAGCTTTAAATCTGTCATCAGTTAAATCCATTGGGCTGTTTTGTATAAAGAGTTTTTAAGTATAAGATAAAATTATAAATCATACTAAGGCTCCAGCAGACTGCAGCTGATCACATGTACAGCCTCCAGCCACATATCCTGTTTTACCTTATATGGTTAAAAATGGCTCACCTAACGCTCCTCTCTCTCTACGTCTTTATCATACTACCTTTCCAACGTGCACACCTTTCACTCTCTTTTAAAATCAGACACACGCTTATCTGTGCCAGCAAGCCTCTAGAGAAATGCCCCTTTTTTCCTCCCTTTGTTTCATCCCCATTACATGTTGACACACACACTCTTTCTCTGCAGGTATTGTGTGTGTGACCTTGTCTCTCCACATGCAGGCTTTCACTTTGCAATTCAAACCAGATGGACAGGATTGCTGCAGGTATTTATTCAAATACCTCAGTGACTAAACACAGAAGCACTGTCTGTGTGTCGATACGACATTAGAGCTGAGACACCGGCACAGTCTCTGTTCAGGAGCTGTTTAACATAAAGACGCGACAAACTGGAAATTTAATGAAGGGTACTTTTAATATTTCAGCTTTTAAGGTTAAGAAATTATCACATTGATTAATTAACAAACATTTGC